TGCCCGGCCCTCTGGCCGCTCGCCGTCCGCCCGTCCTCCTCCCTCCCTGCGTCCCGCCCCGTCCAGCCCCCGGCAGCCGGGCTCCCACAGGCCGCCCCGCCGCTCGCGTTCCTATGGACAGACGCACAGACACCTGCAGGTGGGTGAGAGCCCGCGCGCGGGGCGGGGACGAGCGCGCAGACGCGGCGGCCCGGGCGGGGACGCCTCTTTGTGTGGGGGCGGTCGCGCCGTGACCCGCCGAACCCTCCTTTTGTTTCTCCTCAGGGGAGCGCGGCGGGAGTGAGGGCCGGGGACCCGCGCGGCCGGACGTCGGCGGAGGGGATGGGGAGGGGGCGTATGGGGGGGTCGGAGACCCCGGCGCGCGGCGGGCGGAGTAGGGGGGGGGTTCGGGGTCCACGGCCAGCGCTGCGTCGTCGGGGTCCGCGGCCGGGGTCTTGTCGGAGCTGGAAAGGGGGAAGAGAAGACGTGCCTGTTAGTTTGCAAGTCTGAGGTGGTTCTGGGGCCGTGCACGACTCGCTCCCCTCCGCGGGAGGCTCCCCGAGGCGCGTGGTGGGGCGTGTGTGCAGGAACGTGCGCCGCTGGGCTCCCCTATTTATTGTTTCTAGCGGAGGAGGGCTTTCTCCCGGAGGCGCCGGGCGCCCCCCACTCCGCCCCCATCTGAGGCTGCGCACAGTGATTTGTGTTTGTTATCAAATACATCAACAAACGTAGTGTGCCGGGCGGAAGGAGGTGGGGCTGGCCAGAATCACGGTGTGTTTTGTGTTTGTTGGTTTTTTCTTTCCTAGTTGCTAGGCTTTTGAAAAAAATTACTGTTATTTTAAAGGTTAGATAGGGATGTAAAGGGTGAAAATAACACGGCTGTGTGTGTGCGTGTGTTTACAGTAATGCATATATTTGTTTGGAAGGTGTGGAGTAAAGTTTTGATTTCTCCCCCCACTCACCCAGACTTGGGGGTTTTAGGATTAGCATTGAAAAAGAATGTTCTCCCCGGGAAGTCAACTGCTAACCTGTGAGTCCCCAAGGGGTTGCTTTCATGAGGGAGGGAGCTTTCCATTCAGGCTAGAACCTTTCTTTTGCTGGGTTAAGATAGGAAGTCTTTCATTATCTATGAGAAGAACATGAATGTTAGAATTGACTATCCCAACACCCCCATGATTATGCTTTTCTGGTTTTTTTTCTATGTGCCTTTTATGTATTCTATGCATATGACTCCAAAATTGGGTTGTTGTGAATGTTGGAATTTTTGTTTTGAAAATTACTGTGGAATGATATTTTTGATTTATCATACTAACTTTTTTCAATGAACAATTGCATTCAAAAAATAAACCATCTTAAAAACCAATTTTACAGCTTCAGAGTTTTTATGTAGGTCTGAGGTTATAATTTTGTGTTAATCTCGGCCTGCTCACTTCTCAAAAGTAGTCATGCGTACTCCAAGAATTTATTAATAAATATAAACCTGGCATTTACCAGAGAGATTTTCTTTTTACTTTTTTTAACAGCTTTGAGAAGCACCAAGACAATTACAGGTACAGTCATTTGGAGAAAGTGGAGGTTTTCATTTTTCAAGTGTTTTCTTGGTGGAAAAATATTTGTGTTGGTTTCTGTCAGACATAGAAATTCATCAGAAATATACATAATTTAATGTATTTAGGCAAACTAAATTTTTGTCATTGCAGAAAGATGTTTAATATACTTAAAATAGTGATTTTTTTCTAGGAAAAAATTACGTTGTAGATTCTTGCTTCAGTTCATTAGTACATTAATATTATACCTACTTTTAAAAATACCCGGACAACACATTTGTACACATTTTACTTGGAAACTAGAATAGACTTCGTGTAAAAATGGTAGAGTAAGTCCCTTTTAAGCTGGTCATATTTTATTAGTTCCCTCAGTGACTTTCAGTGTAGGTAAATAAATTTAAAGTCTGTGCAAAGGCTCAGAGCTTAGTGTGTGGCTTTGGTAGTGTGTGGCTCTTGACCTATGCTCTCCTCCCCTTTCCATTATGAAGACTCCAAAGAGGAAAAATAATGAAATTAAGTTTGGCCTTAGCTTGGAAAAAAGAATTCAAGACCACTCAGAATTCCATCTAGCTGGTCGAAGTACTAAAAAAGATAAGCTAACAAATTGAATTGCTTGTTTATGCATTTGCCAGTCTGTCAGTGGTGATGATAAGATTTAACAAAGAGTCACTATGTAAACTAAACATTTACACACTATTGCCTGTATTAAGAAATTGCTTTTCAGGTCAGCACAGGAGTGTCTTTGTGGGATCTTAAAGGCAGTTCCTAGCTTTCTGTTTGTTTTTGACTGATAAGTAGGGTTTTGTATTTTTGTTTCACTTTTTTCCTTGTGCAGTTGGAAGTAATATTTTAGTGTAATAAGAAACATTCCAGAGAAATGTACAGATTTTCATTTTCCCCTTTTAGTGAGCTGATGGTCAAGAAGGCATATATTTTTTCTTTTCATTGTTCATGATTGAATTTTTTGTTACTTTTTACATTGTGATAAAAAATGCTACTTTGAGAAAATTTGAATTTATATGAAATTAGATTTTAAACTTACACTGTCTATAGTTGATTTTAATAGGTTTTAAAATCTATAGAGTTGTCTAGCATTTTCCTGTTGGTTAATTATCAAACATGATATATCATTAAAGGAAACAAAATGGACATTTAGTGTTAGTTGAGACCTCCAAATGTTTAGTTTTAGTATCTGTAATACTCAAATAGAAAGCAGAAAGTAGTAACTTTAGTCTTATAGTAGATCTATGAGTTTCATGCAGTTTTTCCAGGCCTGGTTGGGATGCAGGGCTGGCTGGGAAGGGTGGACAGTGACCTCTTGTTGCAGCCTTTATCATCCTGCATTGTTTAAGAACAGCACATGCCTGTGTTGCTTGCTGAAAATGCAGAATTCATACTTGGATTAATATTCTGGTACCAGATGTATGAGGTTGGCTCTAAAGAAGCTTTCTCTCTTACATACTGTCAAAAATAAAGAAGCTGAAGATTGGAGAGAAGCCATTTATTTTGAACAGTTTTATTTTATGACAGTTGTGTTTGTAAAGAAACTGGCTCATAATATTTACTGAAGAGATGTACATAGTTGCCAAAAGAAGCCCTACAGGTTTTCTTTCTTTCTTTCTTTCTTTTTTTCTTTTAAAAAAGTTTCATAGAGCTTAATTCTTATGTGATGCTTCTTGACTTTACTCCTGATTAGTTGATTTATGGACTTTATTTACCAGCATGATTGGAGAATTCTTTTGCTAGACTAAAATTGCACTCTGCCTGTGCTCCAGTGAGTTTCCTAGGTAACAAATGCACTGCATAGATTCCATAATGAGGACTGTGGTTGGCTAGTTACTGTGTAAATTCTGTTGTTTGGTAAAGCTTAGTCTTAAATTCAAATAAAAGGTCAAGAAATCAAAAGTACTAAAAATGCAAATTTTGGAATTTTACTTTGTATCTAGTGCCAATAGAGTTTAATAGGTTTTTCTGAAGAAAGACAAATTATACAACAGTATTTAAGTTTGTTTCTCAGACTTAGACTTAAATGATTGGAGAGCTTTTTCATACTGGTAACGTAACATTTCATACTGGTAATGCTAATGACTCTAGGGTCCAAAAGGATATGTTATCATACTTGCAAATAACACAGAAAGCAAAGGTATGTGGTATTGGACCTCGGTAATACTTTTATACTGGAAAGGATGTAATCACCCAGAAGGAAAATTAGACAACTATATGTGAAATATAGTGCCCAGACATGTTGTTCCTGGGGCAAGTGCTCAAGTGCTCTACTACTTGAACCACACAGCTCCACTTGCAGCTTTATTTGGTGATTAATTGGAGTCTCATAGAATTTACTGCCTGGGCTGGCTTCAGATCTCAGACTCCTAAGTAGTTAGGATTACAGGTGTGAGCGACCAGCTTTCCACTTGTGAAATGTAACTTTACGAAGACACTAAAGTATTTGCGAATCATTTAGAAACATTAAAACATCTACCATAAAAGAACACTTTTTTTTAGTCTAGTTTTTTTTTTCTCTCTTTTGAGCTGCCTAAATGTTAGCATCAGGCAACAGGTTTCACTTTGGTAGCTGTAGGTTAGAGACTAGCTTTCCTTTCTCGCTTACTTCCTTGAAATTTATGGTCTTTGTTCTAGATGCATGACAGTAAGTTGTATGTACTGTGGAATTGTTAGTAATTATTATTTATTTACTTTAAAAAATAAAGCCTGGCGCCAGTGGCGCATGCCTGTAATCCTAACTACTCAGAAGGCTAAGAGCTAAGGATCATGGTTCAAAGCCAGCCTGAGCAGAAAAGTTCCAACTGAGCAGAAGTGGTCAAAAACCACTCAAAAACCAGAAGTGGCTCTGTGGCCCAAATGGTAGAGTACTAGCCTTGAACATAAAGAGGCTCAGGGATAGTGCACAGGCTCCGAGTTCAAGCCCCATGTCCAACCAAAAAAAAAAAAAAACTTCAAAAAACCAGAATTAGCCGGGTGCTGGTGGCTCATGCCTGTAATCCTGACTACTCAGGAGGCAGAGATCTTAGGATCATGGTTCAAAGCCAGGCCAGGCAAGAAAGTCTGTGAAACTCTTATCTCCAGTTAACCAGCAAAAAAGCTGAAAGTGGAGTTGTGGCTCAAGTGGTAGAACATTAGCCTTGAGAGAAAAAACTCAGGGATAATACTCAACCTCTGAGTTCAAGCCCTAGGACTGGCATAAAAACAAAAACAAAATTAATTTTGTTAGAGATATGAAAAGAAAGTGTGTCTTAAGTGGTAGAGGGTTGACCTTGAGTGAAAAAACTAAATGAGAATGCAGGGGCCCTGAGTTCAAGCCCCAATATTGGCACTCAAAAAAATGTTTTTATAGAAGAGGATTAAATGTTCAGCCTGCTTGGTAATTAAACACAAAGTATTCTGGCAATGTAAAGCTGCTTGTTTGTTTGCCAAGACAAGGTCTGGCTGGCTAGCCCCTGCTGCCCATCCGTGTTGTAACCCTCCAATCTTAGTCTCTTGATTGCTAAGAATCAGAAACTGTTTTTTTAAAATCCATATCAAATTAGCATAATTTAAAATGAAATCATAGTTACTGCTGATCAAGGGGAAGAAACAAGGAAGAAAGTTATTC